TGTCAAAAATTACTCCAAAAAAGTTGAAAATACAAAGTTGGCGAAATTGTGCAGATAAGCAAACCAAATTTTCTATACTTTTTCTAGTTGCAACAAAATGTACTTAAGCCAATTGAAGTCCAAGTCACAATAACTTATTGACAAAGCTATACAATCTTGATTCTAAGTCCTAAATAAGTGCATGGGTAAATAAATCTATTATAAAAAAAAAAGACTTGGTATAGTTAGAAACCTAGACATTAAAAACAAGGTAGGTAGGTACAGTTGCGATAAAAAAAAGTAGTACAAAAATTATTATCCCCAATTTGAGCTCCCGGTGTAACATACAAAATTTTGACAGGCAATGACATTTTCTAGGTTAAAAACGGGTGGAAAAATGTCAAAATAATGTCATGTGAAACATATGGAAAAAAAAAAACATAAATTACATAAAAAAATTAGAACCCATTACGACAGACGTAAATACTACACAAACCTCGACACAGACTAATCATAAAAATTAGGTGTAGGTACCAAATCAAATTATTATAATTGTAAAAAACAAAACAAAGCTTCTCACAATATATGAAAAGTGAAAAAATCACGTTAAAACCCTGATGAATAAGAAGTTGCCTCTTCGCCAGTGATGCTGTCTTCATAGTCTTGTTTCATATTTTCGATTCTTTCAATGGTGATATTGGGCACTTGGGCATCTCTTTGACAAATGTGTCTGAATCGATGCTTCCTGCTAGAAACTTTCTGCAGACAAAAGCTCCATTCGAAAAGTTCTTTGCATTTTCCAGGTGTTTTGAGTTATTGACGCCCATTAGACTCCGATTGCAAAATCGTAAAATATCAAACTACATCTGATTTAGATCAGAGGCTAGTTTGGCAACGAATATCATTTGGTTTTGGTTGATTGTATTGATCATTGTTTTACTGGTGTTACTAATAGGTTATTTACTGCTGCTAATTCTTTGTGGACTGATTATACGGAATGGTTGGAAATTCCTCATTTTATTGGATTTCTTATCTCATCATAATTTTATGGGTTTTGTTAGTTATTACCGAAAAATGTATATTGTGGCTGAAATGGGTGCATGTATGTATAAATAATTATAAATAGGAATTTTATTCAAATTTTACTCGTGCTTTGCAACATGGAAAATTTTACCCAAATTCAAATCTCGATATTTTCGGAACGGAAAGAGATATCGAGTTGCGGTATTCGGGAGGTTCTTCACCAACTCTTTGAGAACACGCACAAGGTTTGACCGGCATATTTCTTTCACTTGTGCACTTATACAGGGTGAGTAAAGGAAGTCATGTTTTTTTGGCAAAGTTTGGGGCTATGCCAGATTCTCAATTTTTGATCTTGGAAATTTTTATATGCATCTTTTTGATCCTTGGACTATCCCAAAAAAGTAATTTCTCAAATTTTTCGAAAGTTGGCTATAACGCAAATTATCGAATTTTTAAAAAAGGGTTACATTTATCCCTAAGAAAGTGACTTTTTCGGGATTTCGCTTGAGAATGGGTATTTTTTCCCATACTTTTGCATGAAGTAGAATTTCTTGGCCCCGAGAAAAGATTGAAGCACTCATTGAACGTATTGCCTACAGTGGCGTGCAGAAAAAATTTGTTTTTGACATTATGTTATTAAAACCGAATTTATAAATTAAATTATACTATGCCATTAAACAGCTTAATGAACAAATCCAAGTTACTACTCTTGATACAGAAGTATATTCCAGTGGCGTAACACCAAGAGCATCTTTTGGTTTGGTGGGAAGAACTTAAAAATTCGTATTTTTCAAAATGCTATGATGCTGGTCTATACTGCTGTTCATCTTTCATCTGGAATTTTTTAACCTTGTTATTCAGCATTGGCGTACCCGCTTGGATAAAAGGGTCTTTGAATAACCTCCCACAATAATGTCTTTTGGCTTGACTTCGAATTTTTTTCTGTCATGGGTAGCTTTTTTTAAAAAAAATGTGCGAAAGAGATAGTGTTATTGCTGCGCGATACGCTTGCAGATACCTTTTAAAGGTACGCGTTCACTAAGCGGATCGGGCCGGGGCGCATCTAACGATTCTGGTATAGGATTCGGCACCTAGGCATATTTCATTGTTCCGTTTGAATTCGGACCGCCAATTAATGCGGAGCGCTGAAATCCGTACTTGAATGTTGAACGGTGCTGAGCCTCAGGTCGGAATGGTTCAGTACTGTCCACCCCCTTCGTGTTCCTGTTTGCTACAATTTTGCGGCGGATGCGGCCTATTTGGCACGTTGCTTCATGTGTTCTTGTGCTTAAACATGCAGGATGAGTTTGCCTGGATCATTTAAACATTTTCAATGTGGTGAACAAATTAACCGTGCATCTTAGAGGAAAATGCGATGGATAGAAGAGTATGATATAACATATACGAATTGGAATGTGAAGTCAGTAAAGAATAATTATACCAGATTCAAATGCAGGTTTGTGTTCAATGTCAATTCAATGACGTAAAATCTTCTTGAAGAATCTTCTTGGATACGAACAGACTTTAGAAAATACATTTTTAGATATGTTATTGTATGCTATCATAGGGCTTACAAAAAAGTAGATCAAGGAAATAATAAAAAAGGAAAATCAGCAGTTGAGTTCCGAATCTAAGGTCAAAATGTTATAAACAGTGCTGAGCATCAGGTCGGAATGTAACCATGCGTTTGGGACGGTTTTTATATTAAATCAGCTGTCCACTCCCTTCGTACAATTTTGCAGCGGATGCGGTCTGTTTGGCACGTTGCTTTATGCGTCCTTATGCTTTACATGCAAAATGAATTTGTCTGAATCATTCAAACACTTTCAATGTGGTGGACAAATTCATCGTGCATTTTAGAGGAAAACATAAACATTGTTTCACGAGGGTTCATACTTTTCGCCTTCCTTTTTCAACAAATGGAAATTGACTGAAACAAATCAATGACGTCAAAAACGTTCGTTGGTTCTTAAATCAGAAGTCATTCATTTTAATTTATCAACAAAAATGAATGTGTCATATAAATTAATCTTCGACAACCCTTTTTTTCCAACTTATGGCGTGTTCGATGTCACAAGTATGAACCCTGGTAAAACGAACCTTAGTACTGAACAGTGAACAAAGCTGTTTAGTTCATGTGGCAACAAGTGAATAAAACTTATGTTCGCTGATTTTGTGCCGCGCTGACGGAGCAACATTCCAACCTGCAGCTGGGCACTGTTTAACATTTTGACCTTAGATTCGGCACTCCACATACCTGTTGCTACAGAACCATTGGACCTGATGCTCAGCACCGTTCAACATACCAGTACGGATTTCGGCTCTCCGCATTGATTGGCGATTCGAATTCAAACGGACCAATGAAATATACGTAGGTGCCGAATCCTATACCGGAATGTTTGGATGCGGCCGGGGCGGATCGCATCGCAAAAATCCGTCTATCATAGATTCAAATGAATCTGCGTCCACTTTGCAATTCCATTTTAATCGGTGCGATCCGCCCCGACCTGTTCCGCTTAGTGGACTCGTACCTCAGAAGGTATCTACCAGTTTATCGCGCAGCAATAACGGTATCTCCTACAACACTGACTATTGTGTATAAGTAGGTCTCGAGGTCGAGCCGAAAAACATTTATTGTGGGAAGTTATCCATCAAAAGACCCTTTTATCCAAGCTGGTAGGCCAATGCTAAATGAAAAAGATAACAAATTCCAGATAAAAGATGAACAGTAGGATTTGCTAGCATCATATAGCATTTTGAAAAATATCAATTTTTAAGTTCTATTTACCAAACCAGAAAATACTCTTGGTATTACGCCACTGGAATACACCCTTGTATTAAGAGTTGTAACTTGGATTTGTTCAATAAACTGTTTAATTGCATAGTAAAATTTATAAATTCCGTTAGCAAATTTTTTAAAAAAGTGATATTTTGGTGTGTTGCTGTTAGGTATTTATTGTGACTTTAATTTATTTGATTATTAATGTTTCTTTTGAAATGTTAAAATATTTTCTCAAATTTCTCGAAAACGAATCGATCGATTTCAAAAATTCAAACGTCATAATAAAGCACTTGATAAGGCCTTTCAAACAAGCTATTATTCGATAACCTTTCCCATTTAAGATTCTTTAGGGGGTGCCCCTGGGCGGTAGGGGGTGAAGTGGGGGGAAGTAATTTTTACTTAAAAAGTTGTCCCCCTTGACACGTCTTTTGACGTGTTTCGGCGTTTTTTTTTTTTTAAATCAGCGGTTTTTGATAAAACCGGGGTGGGAAGTTTTCAAATGAACACCCGGTATATATGTATATTATGGTAACATGCAACATAATCGTTCATTTCACAATGGCACACTTGTCAAGTAGTTTCATTATTCTTTATTTTTTTTTTATTTATTTTTTTTTATTTATTTTTTTTTACGGATATGCGCACTCGCAAGGAAATGTCCTATCACGCTCGAGAAGCGGCTATATTTCAACAATCAATCTACTTCAGCATACCTGCTGGGGTAAAAGAAGGCTTCATTTGCATAGACGATGGTACGAAAAATGATATGTGGCCAATAACGTGGCATCGGATGGTGCTGGATAAAACCCTCCCTTAGTTGTATCAACACAAGTGTATACAACGCGTTCTAAAATCGTTCTGTTTTACTAGCAATTTTCTAATAGTTTATAAAAAGTTTTAAAACTTGAGAGTGGTACCAGCAGATTCCTTATGGATTGGACTACACAGTTAGTCAAAGAGGTATGACAAAATTATTAAAACTACCCCAAAATATTCACTTACATCTTGCCATCCAAAAACAAAATTGTGCATGCAATAAGGATCAAAATAGTACACAGTTAAGCACCTCCCACGGGGTACCCACTCCTGCTACAGCAGACTGTGCGTCGCCAAAACATATGGTTCGAAATAAGTATTTAGTACGCCACCAGATCTCACCCGAGATTGATAACACTCTGATAGGAACAATTCGCCAGAAAACATCGCTAACTTTCAAATGGGGGAGCCTACAACATTAAATGAAATGTACAAACTTCTTTCGGCTGATAACAAGAAACAGACTGCGCAACTGACCGAGAAGATAGAGCAGAGTGAAGCAAACGTCTCTAGACACTTAAGAAAGACGAACAGAAAAATTGTTGAGATTGAACAAAGAAACATTTTCTTAGAGAGAAAGATAAGAAGGAACAATGTATTATTTTTTGGATATAAAGTTGAGGATCCGAAAGATCTACTTAAACTGACAATTTCAAAAATAAATGAATTGTTAGCAACCAACATAAAAGAGGACAACATTAACAATATTTATAAAGTTGGTAAGTCAGATTCTGCACCGACTCTTATCGAGTTTATTTCCTACTTAAAGAAAGCAGAGCTATTCAAGGATCCAGAAAAACTTAGGGCGCTAAAAAACACACCATATGCGATTTCAAATGATCTCTGCGAGGAAGATAGGAGGGAACTGAAAACACTAAGAAAACACCAAAAAAAAGCACACGACGAAAATAAACCGGCAAAAATTAAAGGTCTAAAGTTGGAGATCGACAATAAACTCTATACAGCTAAAGAATTGGAAGGCCACTCAGAATCAGATATACCTACTACCAGCTCGGAGACCGAAGAATCAAGCGAAGAAGAAAGTGAAGAAGAAGAGCAAAATATAGAACAGAGAACCAGTGTCGATCAAGATCAAAATAAAAATAGCAAGAAGAGAAAACAACATAAAACACCCAGTCCAGGTGGGATGAAAACAAGGTCCAACAAAAAGAAGAAAACTATTCGAAAACTATAAATTCTACACTTCTTTTTTCAGCTTAACTAAGTACCTCCAGTAAGTAAAAGTTGTGAACTTTAGGTCAGGTTAGATTAGATTTAGGATATAGATATAGAAAAAAAAGTAGTTGTGTTTGTATTTAGTTTCCTTTTCTTTCTAAATTACACTATTGCAAGTGATTAGAAATTTCCAGCTGGGTGAAGTTTCAACGTAAAAAAAAAAAAAAAAAAAAAAAAAAAAAAAAAAAAAAAAAAAATGAATAACGATACAGATTTCGAGTCGCAGGAAATATCCACAAAATTGATTAATGACATAAACCAGCTCAATCCTTATTTAATTGATAAAAATTTTAAAATATTGCATCTTAATATTTGCAGCATAAATAAAAACTTTGATAATCTTTTGTTTTTTACAACAACTTTCAAATAGTTTGGATATTATAATTTTGACTGAAACCCACAAGATAAATGATCCACAACTATTTCAATTGACAGGTTACAGTATGGTTTATAGTCAAGGTATATTCAATAAATGTGATGGAGTTGTGGTTTATGTCAAAGACTATCTAGAGATGAAATATACGTTTAAAAATATAGGAGACATAAAGAGTATAGAGTTGAACATCGGAAAAGGCTCAAATAGATTCTTAATAACTTGTCTTTATAAATCGCCTGCTATTAATGAAAATATCTTCGTAGAGACTTTCTCCGAATACTTACAACATATAAAAAACTACAAAAACCATATAATAGCAGGAGACATTAATCTAGATTTACTTAGAACTGATAAAAAATATACAGAAGACTATAAAAGTATCCTAGCAAGTTATGGCTACTTATCCTATAACCAATTTTATACAAGACCACAATCCAAAACCTGTTTAGATCATTTTTTTGTAAAAAGTTTTGGGGCTAATAATTTGGTTGATACACAGTCGTTTACAATAAATTATAAAATAACGGATCATTGTCCAATTTTACTCTGTTTCAAAAATAAAAATTACGAAGAAAACCTAAATAATTCTGAGACACGGCTAAAAAAATATATAAACTACAACAATCTTAGGCGGGATTTAGCAAGCCAAACTTGGAATGATATATATTTAGTGAACGATTTAAATATCTCAACCAACAATTTTGTCACCAAACTCCAGACATTGATAACAAAACACACAGTCACTATTAAACAAAGTAATACGAAAAATGGCAAAAACAGGTGGATAACAAAAACTATTCTTAAAGACATAAAAATCAAAAACGAACTGTATAAACAACACTTACAAAATCCACAAAACATAACTATAAAAAATAAATATATAAAAACAAAAAGTGATCTAGAAAAAACAATAAAACGCTCAAAAAAAAATTATGCCGAAAAATTGATCAATAATAACATAACAAACACAAGGGATATATGGACATCTGTAAATACCATATGTAATAAAACTAAACAGAAAACAAAAATCGGAAAAATACAACTAGCAAATTCTCAAGAAATTACTAACGAATTTGAAATTGCAAACCATTTCAATGACTTTTTCATTGAAATAGGAGAAAATCTTGCAAAACAAATAAATACCCCACCAGGGTACTTAGAAAATGTTGAAAGAGAACCAAAAAGTTTATATTTTTTCAAGGAAACAACAAATAATGAAATTCACCAAATTGTTAAAGAATTAAAAACAAAAAAAGCACCGGGATATGACGGAATTAAATCTGAAACACTGAGGGAAATATCTAAAGAGATTGCGCCAGTTATCTCTTATCTAATTAACTTTAGCTTTCAGATAGGATCTTTCCCAAATTGTTTAAAACTAGGGGAGGTTAAGCCGTTATACAAACAAGGTCCAAAACAAAATCTAAATAACTACCGGCCAATTTCTTTAATCTCCAATATTGCAAAGATATTTGAAAAGGTTATTAAGTTACGAATGGTTGCATTTTTGGAAAAAAACAAGATTATATCTGATAAACAATTTGGTTTCAGAGACAACAAATCTACAGAAGACGCGATTTTGAAGTTAACATCTGACATCTATGAAGCCATCGATAATAAAAAAGCATCTCTCTGCGTCTACATTGATCTCACAAAGGCCTTCGACACAGTATCCCACAAAATTCTAGAAAGTAAACTAGAGCAATGCGGCTTTCGTGGCAGTGTTCTAAACCTACTAAAAAGTTACTTGAATAATAGGAAGCAATATGTAAATTTGAACGGAATAAAAAGCAACCTTGGGACTGTGACTTGTGGTGTGCCACAAGGAACAGTTCTTGGGCCTATATTGTTTACAGTATACATCAACAACTTGCTAAAATTACAAGTTGAGGGAAAAATTGGAAGTTTTTGTGATGATACGGTATCTTTTTACTCCGCAAATAATTGGGAAGAGCTCAAACACATTGTAGAGAGAGACTTAAACAAAATTTATCAATGGTTTCAATTCAATAAACTCACATTAAATCAGTCTAAAACCACATTCTTGCCTTTTACCTCATATAAGACAAACTTACCTGACTATGACACAATAAAGATCGACCAGAATTCCATTATCTCAAGGGCTGAACATGTAAAGTACCTTGGAATGGTCATGGATGGTCATCTGAGATGGGACAAACATATACAATATTTGATAAGTAAAACAAGATTCTTAGTTACTAGGTTTGCCCATCTCAGAGACTATCTAGAGGTTGATGATTTGAAGAAGGTCTATTTTGCATTGTTTCAATCCCATATAAATTATGGGCTTGTGGGATGGGGTGGAGCAAGAGATAATTATTTGAGGGATCTAGAAATCTTACAAAAATGGGTGCTTAAAATAATTTATAGGAAAAGCCGATCATTCTCTACGGATCAACTATACAGAGAATCAAAAATATTTGATCCTAAACAACTCTATTTTCAAAAGTTGCTTATGTGTATTAATAGAAAAAAAATTGACATCAACGTTGTAAGTCATCAGCACCACACTAGAAACAGAGAAAATGAGTTAGCTTTGGTCCCAGCAAGTAACAAAGAGATTGGACATAGATCCTTCAAGTTTTTAGCTCCAAAGTTTTATAACTACTTACCAAGAAACCTGAGAGATATTATATTTAGAAAAAAATTCAAAAAATTATTGAAAAATTGGATTACACAAATAAGCAGATTAGAAATCCATAAATTGTTTAATATAATAGCTTAGAAAATGTACCTATTTTATATAAGTTAGTGAATAAGTATTGAATTGAATAGTGTACTATAGCAAATCGAAAAAGTGTAGTTTTATAGGGAAAAGCCAAAGTGTGACTAGTTAACCAGATTGTGACGCCAAAGTACCGATTGTGACGCCAAACTACCGATTGTGACGTCAAAATTCCGATTGTGACGCGAAAATACCGATTGTGACGCGAAAATACCGATTGTGACGTCAAAATACTGATTGTGACAGAACTCAATAAGGACCAAAAAAAAAGAAATCATACTGCCCTAACAAGTGAAAAAATCACTTCAGGGTTAAATTGTTTATTATCATAGTCGTAGGTTATTGTTTAAATTATATTTTTGAAAGTTATTCTACATTGATAAATAAACTTCTTTATTATTATTATTATTATTATTATTATAACCAGAAAATGTTTGTATATAACCTCACCACTACCAATAATTCATTGATACATATAAACTAAGTTTTTTCTTCGAAAATTGGACATATGGAGACACATCTGATTGGAAAACAATAATTTTACACCAGAAACAACAAAACCAATCTCAATGTAATGAAAATGATGCCTCATCGAAAGTATTTTATCCTGTTGTATTACCCTTAATCATAGTAGTAATAGTTTTAGTGTTATTGATGTTAATCTACTGTTCCATTAAAAATAATTGTAATCTATTCGAAATAAGTTGCTTGAATAAGCTTTGTTTCTAAAAATAATAAAATTAATTATTCCAAAATATGAAAGCCTTATTCCTTTTTGTCATTAAAAAATGAAAATAATTCAAGACAAGCCCTCACGGGAAACCGGGGCCCCGGGGACCCAGGGATCTGCGCCCTCAGCTCCGGGCCCCAATCCGCGCCCCCACAATCCGCCGCCACCGTTGCCCGACGACCAGGGGCGAGGGCCCCAAGTGCTTGGTACCTGCAGCGCCATCTAGCAATACAAGCTGTTACCATCACAGCGCGGGCCATCGGTACGCTACCTGCAGCGCCATCTAGCAATACTTGCTGTCACCGTTACAGCGCCACCCATCGTTACCCCCCCTACCAATTTGTTCCAGAAACGGCTTTGTCCTATCTACTCATTTCACCCCACTATCAACTTCGCCCTTGCATGGTTTGTTTAAGCACCCCAATCTTTCAAAATGATCGACAATGGAGCCCTCAAACAGTTGTATGAATGATAGGAAAGATGTTAGGTTAAAGGTATTTTATTGAACCTCACAGGGTGTACCACTATCTACTCGGCTCTTGCATGGTTTGTGTAAGCACCCCAATCGCCCAATCGGTCAAGATGATTGACAATAGAGCCTCAAACAGTTGAATACATGATAGGAAAGACGTCAGGTTTGAGGTTTGAGGTTTATTATTGAACCTCACAGGGTGAACTACTTATATTGATGGCTCGATGTTGATGGCCTAATTACATTCCTTGCCTTTCAGAATGCCTTGAGCAACAAAAGCCTTCACAGAGAGCACCTATGATACGGAGGCTTGGAAATCATAGCTGCCAGCGGATACTCCCTCACACTGACGGGATGGCGTTTGTTTTTCCTGATGCCTCTCAGTCACCTTCGTAATCCGCATCGCAGACTTCTAAACAGGAAGGTCGGCAACGGTTTCCAGAAATAAGCCTTTCTCGGCAACAGTTGAAACACTATTGATCAGTTTTCTTATTCTTGAATCGTAGCCTTGTTCCGTGCATTATGTCTGTAGCATCGTTTCTAATTTAATAAAAATAAACGCCTCTATGTTCGAGCTTTCCTTCGATATTCTTACTTCCCTTCGATATTCTTACTTCCCTAATTGTGATTTTTCT